GTGCCCTATAGCAAAAAAAACCCTAAAAACAAAGAAACACACAAACAAACAAACAAAACACACTAAAAAATTTCACAAAGTGAAGGTCAATTTTCTGACTTGAAGCTGAAAGAGTTACCTCAAGTTACTCATTCTCAATTTTGGTGTCTTAACATGGAATAGAACACACTAACCATAAAGCTTGAAATTATGGCCATATAGAGCTTTGTATTTTTCTTTTTTTTTTTTTAGAGGTTTTTGCTATAGGGTGCACATGCTTGCCAGAAAGACAGAGAGAGGCAGAGAGAGAGAAAGCAAGAAATCACCCCCCAGGGGAGATGGTCACGCCACAATCCCTTCTCTTCCATTCTCTCAGGATCTTGGGCATGCATGCACATGTGCCTGGCATGAGTTTAAGCTACCAGGTCTGGGACTCGAACCGCAGTCAGCTACCTGGGAGTCCAGCAACATAGCCATTACGCCAACTGCTGGTCTCCATACATGGCATTTTTGCTGGCTATTATACAATGTCCTTCTATTATCCCAGCAAAAGGGAACAGTTATCCCTGTAATCTTGCTAAGACTATCTCTCCGACACCCACTCCTCAGATCAGCACTTCTTCAAGGGCTGCATCCACTTTTCTTTCTCCCCTATCATAACTCTAGTCCAAGGTGAAATGGCTCAGCACCTATCTGACTATCGTTTCCACCTGGCCTCCTGCTTTCTTTAGACCCATATACCATTTTATTCCTCACACACCCATGAGAGGCTGATTTTCCAAAGTTACAAATCAGACTTTCTTATTTCCTCGACTGAAACTCTTTTTGAAATTTCAACTACTCTTAAAATAACAACCTAAGCTTTGACAGGAACCTATGGCAGTTTTCAGGTACTCAGTCTTTATCTTGTCCTAATCTTTCCATTATTTGCTGGGTTGCAGGCCTTCAGGCCTCCTTTCTGTGTCTTAGACATGCCCAGTCCTCCTTCTCCTCCTTTGGGACTTTTGTACTTGCTTCCATTCCCCTTAATGTCCTTGCTCCAACTCATCACAGAGCTGGCACTTGCACATTCTCAGATTCGGTTCAACTTCATGTCCCCAGAATCATGGCTTCTGACTCCACAGCGATTACAATCTGTGATCATATTATTCATTTTATTATCTTTTTTTTCCCTTAAGCTTCATGAGAACATAAAAATTGCTCTTGATTTTTTTTCCACTAAGTATTGAGTGCCCAACACTTTTGTGGCACGTAGCAGCTGCTCAAAAACACTTTCTGAATTAATTAATGAATGAGTAAGTGAGACATTGTCGTGACAACCATCTAGGGGTATAGAATGGAAGAGTATTCCTCTGAAGTTTTAGAACAAGCAAAACACTTTTTTTTTTATTTTTTTGGAGAGATTTTCACTGTAGGGCGCGTGCGCTCGCCAGACAGGCAGAGAGAGACATAGAGACAGAAAGCGAGAAATCACCCCCCAGGGGGGATGGTCACGCCACAATCCCTTCTCCTCCATTCTCCTCTCGGGATCTTGGGCATGCACGCACACGCGCCTGGCGTGAGTTTTAAGCCACCGGGTCCGGGACACGAACCGCGGTCGACTACATGGGAGTCCAGCGACATAGCCATTACGCTAACTGTTGGTTCCCCAGCAAAACACTTTTTTTGATGTAACATAGTGTAATGTAACAAAAATGATGTCACTTTCCCTATTTTCTGCAAAACCAACCAATTTAACTACCTAACTCTAATACTTGTTGTCTTGGCATAATTTCCACCTGGCTATTGAAATCCAAGTTATATTATAAAATTTGTTTTCTTATTTACAATTAGAAAGGTTTAATTGTTTATTTACTAAAATAATAAATTATCAGGGCCAGCAGGTGGCGTGGTACTTAAGATGCTGGTATCCCACACTGCCAACCACAATTCAAGTCCTGGACTCAACGACTGGAAAATCACTCTAGGTGCATGTACGTGTGTGCCCATAATCCTGAGAGGAGAATGGAGGATAAAGAACTGTGGCATGTTCATCTCACCAGAGGAGATTTCTCCCTTTTCCTTTCTCTGTCTCTCTTCAGTGGCACAAGTATCCTATGGCAAAAAACTGAAAAAAAAAAAAAAGAATAAGAAAAGAAAAAAAGGAATGTAAATAAGGTATAAGGGAAGACATTGAATTTAGACATAAATTGAGTAAAATTTTATAAGTTTTATGCATCATATTTATGCATGAATGATAAAGAAAAACAGAAATGATGATGGATGGATGAATGGACTAATGGCCATGATGAATAGGAAGTGTATATTATTACATATTTACATAGACAAATCTCTATTATATAACATCAATATTCTGAACATCATTAGAGAAAATGGAAAAGTTGAACTCTAATGTAATTAGTAGATATATATAAATTACAATAATTTTCCAGTAAAGAAGCTGTTTTACCCACAAATTACAGTATATCCATTAAAAAGCATTTACTTTAAAAAGGGGTTTATGGATCCTATGACAAGAGAAAATACAATATTGTTAACTAGGTCAATGTCTGAAAATTTAGGACATGCAAAATATATTCTACAATTGCTTTTATACAGGCACAGCAAAAAGTATACTGAAATCCACTAGAGGGAGCTGATATTACTGCAAAGTTTTACTACCTGCTTTGCTATCAGGAAAATAAACCCTTAGTAAAAATGACATTGTATACAAGAGAAAAAATATGTGTTTCTAGCTCACTTTATAATGTTCATTATATCAAAATAAAAAGTTAAATTAATTCTAGACATATTTTATAATAAATTTATTGAATATTTACCAAAAAATGATTAAAAAAACATGTTTTCCAGCAAATTCAAATTTTAGTAGAAAACAAAAATACATTTTTGTTCCTCTTATAAAAATTTTGAAAAGGATTTTTTTTTTTAACTTTCTGCCATAGGGTGTGTACACTATGCTGGGTCACCCACTATGGTGGGTCAAAAATTGGTTTACTATTGCTTAAAAGTGTTTTTAAACTTCTCACTCAAAGAAACTTTTGTCTTAAAATTAAGTCTGTGAGTAGAGATATTCCAGAGTGATGTTATGTATTAACAGCAACTTCTAAGTATCCGTTAGTGAGAGATAAAAAGAGACAACTTAAAAAATGTGCTAGTCACACGGAATACATTTGTACAATTGCTTCACGTTTATTCTTTACTTCATCATTAAAGGGAAAAAGAGGGTTTATATCATTATTATGCTCTAATAATAAAATGTAACCCAAAGAATAATTTCTCTTTTGCCAAGTTTCATTTGCCCCATTTTTGTTATATCTATAATACCCATTAGAGAAGTTAAGAGAAGTAGGAGATGGTGCTTAGTTAAACATCTTTGTACATCAGGGAAACTGGATTTAATGAAAGCTTCCTCAAATGGTCTCAACTGGTCTCACATTTTTCTCAGTGTTCAAGACATCCGATTCTGAAAATTGCAACCCACCAGGCAGAAGTTACGCATGTACGAATCATGTTTTATTTGTTCTTCAAGGTCATAAGATTATTATGGGAGAGAGGAAGAAATATAAATATCATCAATTTGTTTCCCATCACCAGTATTTCATTACTGGTTCATATAGGTTGTAGGGAGGATGGTTCCATTGATAGGAGTTATCCTTTCATATTAACATTTTTTTCCCCACAAATAACCAATTTGAAATGTTTTAAGTTAGCCATTTTAAGTATTTTTACTTACTTGTCTGTAGTTCTTTCTCTTTGGCCTGCACATCAACAAACACTTGGTTAAAATGGTTTGTAAAGGCAACAAAGTCTGCATCCAGGAACATTGGCCCTTGTCCTTTCTCTTTCAGGGCTACACTCTGAATTTTTAATCGCTCAATTTGAGGCTGAAGTGCTGACAACCGGTTGACTTCATCCTGTAACGTAATTCAGAATATAAAAATAAAAGCACTTTTCCCTTGCATGCGTTACATGCTTCAAAGTAGCAGTGTTAAAAGGCAGTGATACATGCTTAGCTTAATAACCTTAACAGATTTGATAAGAAACATCCATGATCATTTAGGTGAGCCTTCATCACAGGTCATCAATCTAATACCTTTGCTCTTCCTTCAATATGTATTATCGCATGTAACGATCTTTAATTGCAAGGTGACATTGTTTAGAGCATTAATGGGCATAAATGGGTGCAGCAATGAAGTATTAAGAATGACACTAAATTGTTTTCATATTCAAATATAGATGTTTGACTGCATCCCTTATTTCAAAATTCCTTGCATTTCCCTTCAAATTCTAAGCTCATTCAATGACTATTTCAGCTTTCATTTCAAGGTACCTGGTGAGGGGTTCAAATCACAGTCAGCCATGCAGGAGTCCAGCACCTTGACCACCATGCCACCTGATGGCTCCTCTAGTCTGTTTTTTTTTTTAATTGCCAGAGGGCATGTGAACTCTCCAAAGAGAGAGACAAAGAGAAAGGTAGAAAGCATCCCACAATGGGGAATGGTTAACAGCAATCCCCTCGGCTTCACCTTTCCTTCCTGTTGAAATGTGGGGCATGTATATGCACATGCCTAGGATGTTTTTCAAGTTGCTGGGGCCAGGATTCAAACTACAGTCAGCTATGTGGGATCCAGCTCCCTTAACCACTAGGCCCTGGGGCTGGCCCATTATAATCACTTTTAGAACATTTTTTTAACCTCAAAATGAACCCTTGCGTATGTTAACGATTCCTCCATTCCCCCCCTCCCTTATTCCTCCATTCATTTTAATCCTAAAAAAGCATTCATCTACTTTGTCTATATAATCAATGTCCCTACACTGATCTTCTCATATGAATTACACGATCTATTGTGTCATCTTTTGTGACTGGCTTCTTTCACTTAATAGGATGTCTTCAGGGTTTACCCATGTGGTAGCATGTAATAATACTTCATTTATTTTTATGATCAAATAATATTCCATTATCTAGCTATACCACAATTTGATTTTTCATTCATCCATTGGTGGAATTTTAGAGTTGATTCTGCCTTTTCACTCTAATGCATAAAGCTGTTATGATCATTCAGGTACCAAAAAACCATCACAAAATATAAATTATACACATGTACATATATGCATATATACATACTATATATTAAATAAAAATATAATAATTATTTATGTGTATATACACACACATATTTTATATCTATTATCTATTACATATCATATATTATATACCTCTTGTATGATTGCATTACTTTTCCTGACTGAATGTGCAACTGCCACCCGTATAATTAGGGTGACTGGCCAAAGTTTCTCTTGTTGTCCTGCAATAATTAATTAAGGACTCTCTTTTGCTCTCATTAGTACCCTGCTTTGGACGGTAAAATCAAATGGGCACTGCTGTGCTTTCCTTTACAGGAGTAACTAGTGAATATCTGAACTGTGACTAGTTCAAATTGAGATATGTTAGAGTTATAAATTGAATTATGAAGACTTATTATGAAAACATCAAACATAAACTATCTCATAGCTTTTTGCTTTTTTTTTTTTTTAAGATTTTTGCCATAGTCCATGTGCACTTGCCAGAGAGAGAGAATGTGAGAAATCATCCCCCAGAGGGGATGGCCACACCATAATCCTTTCTCCTCCATTATCCTCTCAGGATCATGGGCACACATGCACATGTGCGTTTTTCATGCTGCCATGTCTAGGACTCAAACCACACACTCAGACACATGGAATTTAATGCCTCAACCACCATGCCACATTCTGGTCCTCTCATAGTTTTTAAATATTGATTAAGTCTCAAAATTATTTTTGACAAATGAGATTAAATAAAATATATGATTGAAATTATATACTTTCTGATTTCTTTTTAAATGTAGTTTCTAAAACACTTAAAATTACATATGTGGCTTGATTGTACAGCCTGTATTACATTTCTTCAGGATGCTACTAATCTTTAATACTCTTGTTCCCAGTGAAGTTTCAATAAGTTTACCATCGATACCTATATAATGTGAACGCAAACAGAATTTTTAAAATGCTCTTTTAAAAAGTATTATTATCGGGGGCCAGCAGGTGGCATAGTAGTTAAGGGATTGGACACCTACATGGTCAACTACAGTTTTGTTTTTTGTTTGGAGAGATTTTTGCTACAGGTTGTGTGTGCTCACCAGACAGACAGACAGAGACAGAGAGACAGAAAGCAAGAAATCATGCCCCAGGGGGGATGGCCATGCCGCAATCCCTTCTCCTCCATTCTCCTCTCGGGATCTTGGGCATGCACGCACACATAACCACTGTGAGTTCTAACCCATCGGGTCCGGGATGCAAACCGTGGTCGACTACATGGGAGTCCAGCAACATAGCCATTATGCTAACTGCTGGTCCCCATGGTCAACGACAGTTTGAGTGCCAGACCTGGTGGCTTGAAATTCATGCCAGGCTTGTGTGTGTACATGCCCAAAATCCCAGGAGGAGAAGGGATTGTGGTGTGGTCTTTCTCAAATATAAATCCTCTCTATCAAGTATTAGAAGGTTGGTACATGTCCATGGGAAAAGAATAAGAAAAAAAAGTTTAAGGGTAATAGACTGTTTTATTTTTGTCTTGAGAGGTTATTGCTATAGGGCGTGTGCACTTGCCAAAGAGACAAAGAGAGAGAAAGCAAGAAATCACCCTCCGGGGGGGATGGCCACACCACAATCCCTTATCCTCATTCTCTTTTTGGGATTTTGGGCATGAACAGACAAATGCCCAGCATAAATTTCAAGCTACCAGGTCCAGGACTTGAACCACAGTCAGTCATGTGGGAGTCCAGCAATGTAATCATTATGCCATCTGTTGACCCCAATTTGCAATTTTATTACAGGAATACATATGAGGAGGGTCTTCAAAAATTTCACAGGAAATGAGTGTTATGGAAAAAACTACATGGTTTTCAAAAATTTGTGCTCCAAAAAAACTCGTACTTGAAGTCCAAAATCCGAGAACATTTTCAAGCCCCTTTATACATACGCTTCATATACAAGGCTTGCAAATGGCAGCACTGGCATCTGCTGTGAACATTTAAGAACCTAATTTACATTTGGCCAGATGGAGGGCTGTCATTTTTTTCTGTTTAGGGGACTATAGAAAGAGACTACAGTATAGCCAAGTGTGTTCTGCAAAACAAAGGGGACTTTGAAACTAATAAAACATTTGGGCAAATGTTCAGTAGAGACCTTAAAGTTCTGACAATAAATCATAAGAGAGATCATTTTGAACTGAGGTATTCAACATTTAAAAGATGTGTACCATTAGCATTACTTCCATAAAAGGGCTTGGGCCAGTTGGTCTTCCCAAGTAAGGTATCTTCCCTGAGTCAATTTATCCTTCCAAATGATATCCTTACCTGATTGAAGCTTTGGTATGTTTCCCAGAAAAGAGTCCATGGATTTTTTTCAATTCTCAAAAGGCTCTCTAAACCCCAGCATATTAAAAACCAGGTCACAATCTCTATATTATGAGTTAAATCTGCATTCTAATGGTATAAAATAACAGGAAGCACTGGCAAACAGGATATAATAACTTACTTAGTGATCACTAATCATGGCCAAATAGTATAATTTTCAGCTCTTGTATAAACTATATTAAGGTTATCCTGCTAAATTTTTTACCTAAACTGATTAATCAGATTTATATTTGGTTGTCAGGAAAGTTGTGATGCATTTCTGCATAGAAAAACATGTCATGACTTTCCTGACAACCTAATAGGAACCAATGGACCAGAAAGAGCAAGGGGTGATGAGAGTATATCAGCAGAATTTGGAATGTTATGATTGCTTACCACGAAAGAAATATTTTCATTTCATTCATTTCATTTTCATAAATACTTTCCTCAAACTCAGGAGAGTATTTAATATATAAAACATCTAGAGATCTCCATTCGCTCCTCAGATTAAGCCCAAATCCTAGCATTGCCCAAAAGTCACAGCTCTGTCTTCTATATGTCTGTCTTTCCACTTTCATCTCTCATCCTCGCATACTACTTCACTGCTCCCTATGCTCAGCGTTCACACTGACCTTTTTTCTGTTGCCATTTTATTTATTTTTTAAATAATAAGAATGTGTGGCGAGAGAGAAAGGGGAGGGGGCACCCTTAATTGAGTCTCATCACATCACATTGATCCCTTTTCCCCAGTCTTCTAACTCCTCAAGATAAATTTACCACTAGGGTCTTCATATATGTACCTGGCATCTTTTCAAGATAAACCAGGGACCTGAATCATGGGTTGACCACATGGCTTCCAGACTTGCAGGACATTTGCATTATTGCCATGCCACAGTGGAGAGGACAAGTGGCTTGGTCTTTATTGCTCCCTCACACTGTGTTCCTTCTGCCTGAAGTCTCTCCTGCCACTGCTCTCTTACTTAATTCCAACTCATTATAAAACCTTTGCAATGTCCTTCCCTCAAGGAAGCTGCCCTTGGTGGCTCTGTCAAGTCAGGTTTTCCCTATCAGACATTCTTTCAAAACTCTGTATCTTTATTTAAAGTATTTATCCCAGTGTTAATGTTATATTTATTCATGCATTCACTTGTTTAATATCTCTCTTGCCTATGTGTAAAAAAGAAAAAATGAGAGCAGGGCCAATGAGTATTCAACTAATATTCCTGAAACTTAGTGCTATGGAATAGTGCCCTGCAAAATTGACATGTTGGAGCTCTAATCCCCAATGGTACTGTATTTGGAAATACAGTATTTCAAAATAGAAGGTAATTAGATGATATGACATCATCAGGGTGTGACCCTAATCAAATACAATTGGAATCTCTCTCTGTGTGTCTGTCTTTGTCTCTGTCTCTCCATGTACAGGCACTGAGGAAAGCCACATGAAGACACATTAAGGCAGTGGCCATCTGCAAGCCAGGCAGAGAGTCATCATCAGAAGGTGAACCCTGCCAGACCTTGATCTCAGACTTACAGCTTCCAGAAGTATGAGAAATTAAATCTCACAACTGTTTAAGCCATCTAGTACATGTTATCTGTAATGACAGTCCAAACTTGTTAGCGCACTTTGTGTCATTCTCAGCCACATTAGAGATACTGAATATATATTTTACAGATGAACGTATTTTGTAGATGTTATTATTAATTTCTATATATTAACCTCAAGATTTAAGTGAAGCTAGTGCCATCAGATTTTTGTTGTAAAAACATAAAGTAGGTGGATTATTCTTCTGGTTCACAGAAAAGAAGCCATGGGTCCTATTCTTTACTTATAAAATGCATCTAAATATGGAAATTCCTTAAATTTGCATATTTGTTTAATAAATGAAATGTCCTTCTGTACTATATTCTCTACCCAGAAGTATACTTATTGGATTTATTTACTTCCTAGTAAAACCTTAAATTCAGTATTTAAAGAATTATCAAGTCTTTGAATTGTTTTCTTTTTCTTACAACATAGCCTTTTGTAAGGAATTATTTATTTAATTTTAATTTATTAGTACTATTATTATTATTAATTTGACCAAAGAGAGAGAGAGAGAGAGAAAATGAGAAAGCAAGAAGCCAGGTCCAGGACTCAAACTGCCATTGGTCATGTGGGAGTCCAGCGCCTTAACCACCATGCCACCTGCTGGTTCCCATAATAGTTTTTAATTTCCCATTACTTTTCTTCGTTCAACATCTTTCCAAACATACCCTACCACCTCTCCACTTTTATTCTCCCTTTGCTTCAACCATTCTTTTAAAAGTATGCAAATTGGGGCCAGCAGGTTGCTTGGTGGTTAAGGTGTGGGACTGCCACACAGCTGACCATAGTTAGGGTCCTGGGCCTGGTGGCTTGAAAACTCATGCTGGATGCATGCATGCTTAAAATCCCAGGAAGAGAATGGAGGAGAAGGGATAGTAGCCTGGCTATCGCCCTTGGGGAGTGATTTCTCACTTTCCCTCTCACTCTCTCTCTCTGTCTCTCGCCAGTAAGTACACATGCCCTATAGCAAAATAAATAAAGTATGCAAATTAATGACCATTTATAGTTTTCTGTATTAAATATCTATCATTAAAGGTTCACTGTGGAAACAATTCTTTCTCTCATCAATTTTCCATTTCCAGTGAAAAGTGCACAGTTCCTTGTCCACTTGCCTTCTGATTATGTTTAGTTATTGGGAAACCCGGATCAGATTCTAGAGATACAGACAAGAATGAAGTAATGTGTTTCCTTCTACCGAGGGTGTCTTTTTAGGCTGACTCTTAAGGCTGCTTTTACCACGGAGATTTGACCATTTCCTTCCAGGTTTCCACAACTTCTATTTTCCTGACCTTTTCTGGACTAAGAGAAATAACAGTTGTGATGCTAAGGTAGTGCTTCATCCCTCGTGGAATCTCTGTACTGCAATCAGATTTGTAAAATACTTCTTTGTAATGAAACCTTCCTAGAGCTACCTTAATTTGAGTGAACCATCGGTTTTAAAGATTGTCTATATGTGCCTGACTAAATGATTTATCAGCTTAGCATTGACCTGTGTTTCTAGCTATTTGTATGGATTCCACTTTTTCAACATACAACTGAATTTTTCTCTTTGCAAAGAAAGAGTTTCAACTTATGAGCAGTTCTTTTGGAGGATAAATTATGTACACATTCCCAAACTGCCTCACCCTTTTACATAGTGACAATTAGCCATGTGTAACCAATGTAGTACAATTTTAAGATTCAGCATCAAACATGGATTTGCAAGTGTTTTTTCTGAGTGTTTTCCTATCGTTTGACTAGATACCCAGGAATGGAATTACAGGGTCAAGTGGTGGTTCTGTTTGTGTCTTTGAGGAACCTCCATATTGTTCTCCACAGTGGCTGTACTAAGTTACATTCCCATCAACAGTGTAGGAGGGTCCTCTTTTCACTATAGCCTCACCAGCACTTACATTCTTTGTTTTGTTCATCTTAGCCACACTTACACATCCATGTTTATAGCAGGATTATTCACAATTGCCAAGACAAGGAATCAACCCAAATGTCCAAGAACAGATGAATGGATTGAACATTGTGGCACTTATATACCATGGGATACTATTCAGCCATAAAACAAAACAAAACAACAACAACAAAAAAACGAGACCCAGACATTTCATATGAAGTGGATGAGTATGGAAGATCTAATGTTAAGCAAAGCAAGTCAGACTATGAAAGAGAGCCACCATATGCTCCCCCTTAATAAATACTGAATATCTGTAGTCTATGGCAGAAACTGAAAGATTGGAGAGTATAATGGCAGGGAGGGCAACTGTGGATGCTAGAGACAATATAGGGGGGAGTGTCTGGTAGGTGGTGACTAGGAGGGAATCAAGAGGGGAAAAAGAAAAGCATTTATCAGACACAAAGAGAAAAGTTATCTGTTGATAATGTTCATGGTAATACCTTTGACTTGACTGATATATACTATATGTATGCTGGGAAAAAACAACTTTGCATGCTGTAAAGATGAAAAGTGATTAAATGTAAGTTAAAAAATAAAAATAATTCAGACATCTATACACTACAAATTTAAGCTGATTCTTTGCTTATATTTTGATCTTTACTGTGGTTAATTGAATCCTTACAGGGTAAACATTTCATTACTAAATATTTTGCTATTATCCCCCTGGAAATTGCCAAGAAATACTTATTGATCATCTCTGAATGGAAGAAGAAAAGATTCTTACCTTACAAATTTTTAACTGGCTTTTAATTGCTGTTGGATCTGATGTGGCAGTGGGTTGGGTTTTCAACCAGTTTTCAGCAGTAGTTGTCATCTGCTCCAATTGTTGTAGCTGATTATAGAAAGTGATGATGTTGTTCTGGTACTCCAGCCAGTTAAGTCTCTCACTTAGCAACTGGCAGAACTCGATCCACCGGCTGTTCAGTTGTTCTGAGGCTTGTTTGATGCTGTCAGCGTTAATACCCTCTAGAAAGAAAAAAAAAATGTTATATTCCCTGAAGCTTCTGACTGAAAGAAATGATCTAAAAACCAACATATCCAAATTATAAAAGCATTCATTAAACGAATGATTTCAAATAAAACCATTTATTTACTGATGAAGATGGAAAAATATGAACATGATTTATGATAACTGATTGCAAATAATTAGAGTTACAAGTCATCAAAGAACATAAATGTCATAAAATAATAAATAAGGAGATATAAGGTGTAGTAGAATAGAACATATTTCAATAAAAACAAAGCTCAGTTGGGGTAGGCAGAAGGTTGATCATGGCCAAATAACATTTTAGATGTTTTTAACTAAATGTAAAATATCATGTATATTATCAAAATATCCTTTGAGAGACCAGCATGTGGTGTAGTCCTTACAATGCTGGATTCTGACATGGCTAAACGTGTTTTGAGTCCTGGGCTCAGCACCTTGAAATTCATGCCAGGTTCATGTGTATGCATGCCCAAAATCCCAAGAGAAGAATGGAGGAGAAGGGATTGCTTGTGGCCATTTCCCCTGAGGGGTGATTTCTCACTTTCCCTGTCACTGTCTCTCTGTTTCTCCTTTTTCTGGGCAAGCACATGTGTCTTGTGGCAAAAACCTTAAAAAATATATACATACATACACACTTTCAAAACCACTTCATATTTTCATTTTAAAACATGGGTGCAGAGGACTATAGTACAGTGGTTAGGCACAATGTAGTGTGAGCCAGATCCCACACAGCTGACAGCGGTTTGAATCCTGGGCCTTTTCACTCTGCCTTGAAAAACACATGGAGCAGTAATAGCAGTTAGCATAGTGGTTTTGTCGCTGGACTCCCATGTAGTTGACTACAGTCTGAGTCCCGGACCTGGTGGCTTAAACCCACATGGGGCATGTGTGCGTGCGTGCCCAAGATCCTGAGAGGATAATGGAGGAGAAGGGATTGCAGCGTGGCCATCCCCCCTGGGGGGTGATTTCTTGCTTTCTGTCTCTCTGTCTCTCTGGTGAGCACACGAGCCCTATAGCAAAAACTTTTCCAAGAAAGAAAGAAAAACACATAGAGTATGTATGTATGTGCCCAAAATTTTGGGCAGAAGAGCAATGGAGGGAAATAGCACTGTGATGTGACCAGGCTCCAGGGGTTCTCATTCTCTCTCTCTCTCTCTTTCTCTCTCTTTCTCTCATGTGTACTCATACACCTCTTGGGAAAAAAAAGAAAGTCTGGAAATGAGTTTAAATACTATTTGTAGGCTTTCAAATAAAGGGAAAATAATTTATTCAAAATTAGTTATTCTCTTTCTGTTGTAAAAGGCAGAAGTAACCAAATTATCCATACATCGAAAGAAGTAAAACAAGCACTAGGAAAAATAACCTTTCTAACATGAAAAGTATTTTATTGGGCCACTGGGAAAGTCATGGCGCAGTTTTCCATAGAAACGTACGCTGTTACTTTCCAGATGACTAATATTTATGAATGTGGAAGTTGATGTGAATGTCTTGAGATCATCTACGGCAAGAATAAATAAAGAAAACTCTATCAGAAAAGAAATCCCTTCTGGATTAGGGTACTACTATTACTCCTCTAGTAGGTAATTACCTACTACGTGCCAAGGAATATGTCGTCTTTTCATATATATTATCTTAATTAAATTTTGTCATAAGGTAGTATACAACTAATCTAACTCAAGTACATATTATCCTAAAATAGTGTAATAATCTACAGAAATCATAGATCAAATATTAAATAATTAACTCTAAAATCAGCTCACAAAATTGAGACTTTATTAGGTATATTAGCTTGCATAGTAACTTCATTAACATATGACATTATAAAAAGAAGAAAATCGATTAAATATGATATTATATATTTTTAAATATTGATATTATAGCATTGATAACTTCCTCACATTTTTGAAATTGTGAATATTTCAGTGATTCCTATTCCTACATTTATCTCAAAAAAGAAGATAAGCTCACTATGAGATTCTTTCTCTAGACTAAAATATATGAGAAGTGAAGTGATTTAGTAGACAACCATGTTGCCAAAGAAGAACTACATTTATGAATCTTCATTTCCCTTAACTTCTTGGAAATATAATTCAGTTAAAGGAAAATTAAGTTTTTAAAAAGCTTCAAGTACATTTTTAGCAAACATTTAGTTTTTTAGTTTTGCAAACTTGTACATGCCTCCTACTTTATCCTTTTCAAAGCTGAAAAAAACATGACTTTGAAATAAATTATATTATTTATCCTCTTCTACCTTCCTCTGCTCAGATAGGCTAATTATCAATTTGTTATAATCATATTATACCACCAAACCATGTCTCTCAATTCACGTGAAACAGAAGTCTAACTTCACTAATTTCAAAGTATTGTACTATCCAAGATGACACTGGAGGATACAAGGTTGGCAAATATTATTGACAACAATCTTTCCTTCTGTCTTTGGTCAATATAATTATTATTATTATTATTACACACGTGCCTGGTGTGATTTTCAAGTTACCAAACCTGGAAATCAAACCACAGTCGGCCATATGGGAGTCCAACACCTTAACTATCACACCACCTGTTGGCCCCTGGTTGATATATTTTTAAAGAAAAAAATTGAAGGAAAAGAAAGTGTGAAAAGAGAATATATACATGTCTCCAGATATCCAAATACCAAAGAAGCCCATGATTTAAAGGAGCTAAATATTTTTCTAATATCCTCCTAATACTAAAGGAAACAGTTGTTCTTATTGAGACATCTGGACATGTGGCGTGATTTGCTGTTTGTGATCATTTGGTTTTGAATGGTGATCAAGAATTCTACCAAAATATGTTTTGGGAGATGCTACTAATTAATAGTTGTAAAATGCTCGTGTTTGTTACAAAGTACAAGAGAAGACTCTATGATTCATTCTTATGGGCACTGTTTTAGAAAAAGTATTATGATAAAATGTGAACATTATTTTTTGGAAAATAAGAAGACAATTTAACAATATTTTGGGGAGAATTTTTAAAGGTTATTACTTAATGCCTCCAAAATATGTCATGCATCTAAATAATTAGATATTTACAAGAAATATTTTGAGCATATGTTAAACTTGAATAAGCCTTTAGAAGAAAGTCCATGATATATGAAAAGTCAATATATACTAGTCATTAAGTAGGCAAATAAGGGATGTTAAATTAACAGTACTGATGGGCTGATCCTGGATTCAGTATTATTTAACATTTTGACCATATAATTAGGGAAAGCAGAGAGAACTATCTCTCTGCCCCAGAGGCAGGTCAATAATACAGAGATCGCAAGCACTTGGAAAAATAGAACCATAAGTTAGTTAATTTTCAATAGGAATAATATATACTAATTTTTCAAAAATATAAGTCAAACTGTAATGAAGTACCAGTGGATTTTGTGAGAGCTATTAAAACTCACAGACAGGTTTTAATGAGTCATACTTGATCATTATGCAAAAGTCTATGCTGTGCAAAAAAAGTGAGATGCTAAATATCACTGTAGGAGTTACTAAAATAAAGTCAAGTTTGTCCAAATCTGTAACACTTAGAAATCTAAAATACTCTCTACTTATTTGCACATTGATCTCTATTATCCAACATAAGCAATTAAAATACAACAATGGGTAAAAGAAAAACTTCTCTATTAGGGTAAAGTGAGAGGCAGGCAGAAAGGTGTAGAAATTAACAGTGAGAATGCTAGTGTTAGAGAAATCTGGAGTTCAGATTTCTCTCTCCTGGCCAGGTGGGGTGCAACATCAGTTATACAACACTCGGGGATGCTGACACCTCATGGAAAGGTCCTGGGTGCACGTTCTGATATCTTCAATGGGCACACATACACATGCATGTGATACTGTCTGGCCAGGGTGGGGATGGCAACCTGATGACTTTGTTGGCATACTTGTCTCTCTTTCTCAGTCTCATGGAAAAAAATGGATACATTTTTTATTTAATTTTATTTTTAAAAGAGAGGAAAAGTGAGAAAGTACTCCATATGGGGACCTGTCACACCATAATCGCTTCTCCTCCATATCTCCCTGCTTTCAGGATTTGAGGCACATGAGCACATGTGCCTGGCATGTATTTGGAGCCACCAGATCTAGTACTTTATGACTTGAACCACACAGCCAGCCATATGTGATCCAGCTGTCTTCACATCAGTCTATGACCTAGCAAAAATATATTTCTTTTTTTTAGGTTACATAAGCCTTCAATAAATTCTTTGACACTTCTTGCTAGATGGGTGAACTTCATTGTTTAACCTCATTGGGTCTCATTTGTTTCAACTATGAAATGAGGATAAAAATAGAATCTATCTCGGAATATTTATTAGGGTTCTAAGGTAACATCCGTGATGTACTTACACCAAGTCTGATATACACTAGGCAACCAATAAATACTAGATGATGTTAATAGGGAAGAAATGAAGAAGAATATGTAAGAAAGGAGACCAGATAACATAAGTGTTAAAAATGAAGGGAAAGGAAGTGTTTTATAACAGTAAAAGGCCATTTATTTAAAAATAATAATATGCTAGAAATTAGTACTAATTTATATAATATGGAAATATCATGAGAAAAGACACAGGCAACAGATTATTATTCTTGTAAGTCAGTTTATCACCTGAAGCCATGAAAATCACAAAACTAAGCTGGTTCGGCTGCTGGCCACCCCTGGCTTTTCCTGGAAGTCAATAATAGTTGGGATTAGGGCCGGCAAGTGGTGTGGTGGTTAAGGGCACTGGACTTCCACATAGCTGACCATGATTCCAGTCCTGGACCTGGTGGCTTTGCTTTCTCTCTTTCTCTCTCTCTCTCTCCCTCCCTCCCTCCCTACCTCCCTTACTCTCTGGTCAAATTAAAATAAATGGATAAATAAAGATAAATAAAAATAATAAAAAAAGAGTAGGGATGAGGTGGGCTCTGGATAGCCATGAGGCGTGTGTGTGTTGTGTGTGTGTGTGTGTGTGTGTGTGTGTGTA